TTTTTGAGACAGTCTGGCTCTGTTGCCCAGGCTGGAGTGCAGTAACACTACTCTTATTGGCTCACTGCAACCTCAGCCTCCCGAGTTCAAGTGATTCTCTTGTCTCAGCCTCCCAAGTAGCTAGGATTATAGCTGCCCACTGCAATGCCCAGCTAATTTTTGTATTTTTTGTAGAGATGAGGTTTCACCATGTTGGCCAGGCTCATCTCAAACTCCAGACCCCAAATGATCCACCTGCCTCAGCATCCCAAAGTGCTGCGATTACAGGCATGCGCCACCTGGCATGGCCCGACACTGGATTTTAAGTACTTTGAGAATTTTACAAAACTTGGGGTCCAACAGAGAACTGCTAACTTTATTTTTGGCAAGATAAGGACTTTTTAAAACAGCAATTTATTATACTTACTTTATAACTTCAAAATAGAGATGAGGTATTGCTATGTTGTTCAGGCTATTCTCCAGCTGGCCTCAAGTGAACCTCCTGCCTCAGCCTCCCAAAGTGCTGGGATTACAGGTGTGAGCCACCACGCGCAGCCAAAGGCTGTTTCTTAAATTTTTGCACCGTTCTCCCAATGAGCACTGGTGTTTTCATACCATTACTCAAATAGCATCTCAAGGGGCTTGAGGATTGGAGAATGGAGAGGATATCACTTGTGCCTGCATCATCAAGAGTAATGCTACCTACCTACCTTTATCTACATGTGGGGCTCTGGTTCCAAAGCAATAAATGTTTGAAAATAGCTAGCCTGGGCAACATTCACAGTAAGTCCCCTTCTCTACAAAAAAAAATCAGCTGGGCATGGTGGCGCACGCCTGTCATCACAGCTACTCAAGTGGCTGCAGTGAGCATGATCATACCATTGCACTCCAGCCTGGGCCGTAGAGTGAGACCCTGTCTCAAAAAAAAAAAAAAAAAAATTTGCTGATGATGTTGGGAGTCAGACAGACTTGGACTGAAGTTCCTGTTTGTTCCAAACTCAGAAAGTTTAAAACTTCTCTGAGTCAATGGAAGGTAATAACTATTTCAAAAGATGGCTGTAAACATAACAGATATTATCTAGAATACAGGTCTAGTCTTTACCAGTTGTTTAATGGTAGCTATAAAGAATAGGTTGGTTTGGCTGGGCACAGTGGCTCACACCTGTAATCCCAGCACTTTGGGAGGCTGAGGTAGGCGGATTGTCTGATTTCAGGAGTTATAGACCAGCCTGGCCAACATGGTGAAACCCCACTTCTATTAAAAATAAAAGACTAGCCGGGCATGATGGCACACACCTGAAGTCCTAGCTACTCAGGAGGCTGAGGCAGGAGAATCGCTTGAACCTGGGAGGCAGAGGTTGCAGTGAGCCGAGATAGCACCACTGCCCTCCAGCCTGGGTGACAGAGTGACAGTCCA